AACAGGAACTGCTGCTGTGGAGCAGCCTCTATCAGTGGGGAGCTCAGACCCCCTGTGGACAGGGGGCTGTTCCAAGGCAGCTTCTCCTGCCCCGCCCATGCCTGCTATCAGAGGCAGCAGCATGTGAGAGACAGGGGGCTCTGCGGGGTTGACACACACGGACAACTGGACTCCTTGACTGCCTCAGCTTCTGCCTGCCCCCCTCCCCCTCCACGCTGCTGCCTCTCTATCGGAGACAATAGCACGGGGGTGAAGAAAACAGGTGGATCCGGTGTTTGTGGGGAGCTGCCTTAAAAGTTATCCAGCTAGTTATGTCCTGAGAACCGATTAAAAGACAGGAAACAAAGGGTAGGAATAAATGAAGAGTAATTCATGTTGGAAAACAATCTCAACTAAAACATAAAAATGAGAGGATATAAATTAGCTATTACCACTCAAGAGAGATCTTAGTATCATTATGGATAGTTCTCTGAAAACATCAATGTGCAGCAGTAGTAGAAAAACAAACAGAATGTTGAGAACCATTAGGAAAGGTATAAATAAGAAAACAGAAAATATCATAATGCCCATATATAAATCCAAGGTATGCCCACACCTTGAATACCGCATGCAGTTCAAGTCATCTTATTTAAAAAATGATGTATTAAAAGTGGAAAAGGTATAGAGGACAGCAACAAAAATGATTATTGGTATAAAACAGGTTCCATACAAGGAGGGATTACAAATACTCAGCTTTTTCAGCTTGGAAAAGAGACTATTAAAGTGGGGATATGACAGAGGTCTATAAAATCATGAATGGTGTGAATAAAGTGAATAAGGAAGTGTTATTTAGTCCTTAACATCACACAAGACCCAGGGGTCACAAAAGGAAATTAATAGTCAGCAGGCTTTAAACAATCAGAAGGGAGTACTTTTTCACACAAAAAACAATGAATCTGTGGAATTCCTTGCTATGGGAAATTGTGAAGGCCAAAAGCATAAAAGGGTTAAAAAATAATTAGGTGAGTTCCGGGACGATAGATCCATCACTGGTTAATACAACCCCACTGGCTTGGCTGTTTCTAGACTAGGAGTGGGCAAAACAGCCTCTGCAAGCCAGATCCAGCATGCCAAGCCAGATAATCAAGCCCGTGGCCATCCTGCTGCTTCCCTGCCCTCAGGCCAATTGAGAGCTGGAGACAGAGGAGTGTGCGAAGTCTCCTCCTCCCTCCAGGGGCACATAGCATCAGAGGGAACCGCCAGCTGTTCAAAACAGCTAACAGTTCCCTCTAGGTACGGTGCACCCCTTGCAGGGTGGGGGCAGAGCAAAGATTTCACACACTCCTCCACTCCCAAGCTCTGATTGGCCTGGGCATGAGGAGAGCATGCAAAGTCTCCACCTGCCGCCAAGGGTGGGCAGTGACGAGAGGGAAGAAGAAGTTACTCACCTTGGTGCACTAACAATGGTTCTTTGAGATGTGTCCCCATCGGTGCTCCACTATTGGTGTCGGGCCCTGGCCTGGTGCCACAGTCCGGAGATTTTGAACAGCCGTAGTCAGCAGGCTCACAGATGTGCGTTGCGATCTCACAGGGTTCATGCCTCTCGTGCGCAATCCAGCTCCCACCAGTTCCTCTCAACTGCTGAAAAAGAACTAAAGAGAGCAGATTATGGAGCGGGGAGGCAGGCGGGTAGTGGAGCACCCACGGGGACATGTCTCGAAGAACCATTGTTACTGCACCAAGGTGAGTAACTTCTTCTTCTTCGAGTGGTCCCTGTGGGTGCTCCACTGTAGATGACTTCAGGACAGTAGTCAGACAGATTCGTGTACTGCTCCATAATCAGGGTTGATGTGGAGCTGACAGTATTGCTGTAGTAACCTAGGAGTCCTTTGTTAATTCATATAAAATTGCATAGTGGCACTGGAAGACCATGTGGCCGCGCAACGAATGTCTTGAAGAGGGACTCCCCTAAGGAATGCCATAGTTGTGGATACGGCCCTCGTAGAATGAGCCGTAGGATGCATTGGAAGAGGCTTTTTGTGGATCGAATAACACGTGGTAAGACAGGTTGTTATGAGTTTGGCCACACATTGGGAGGACATCGCTTCGCTCTTGGTGCGGTCCGCTATAGAAAGCAATAAACGGTTCATTTTCCTCCAGCTCTTGGTTCTATCTATATAAAAGGTGAGTGCACATCGAATGTTCAACATATATAATCGCGCTTCCCACGGTGAAGCATGGGGAGCTGGATAGAACGAAGAGAATACAATTGGCTCATTAAGGTGGAATGCAGAACATACTTTCAGAATAAAGGCTGGATGAGGTCTGAGTATGACTTGATCCTTGGTAAAAAGGGTGAACGGTGGTGTTGACATCAGTGCTGCTATTTCACTCACTCTACTGGTGGAAGTTATAGCTAAGGAAAAACAACTTTGAGTGTCAGCAGTTGAAGGGACGTGGTGGCCAGCGGTTCAAATGGAGGCTGGATAAGAGTATCCAAGACTAGGTCTAAGTTCCACGTTGGTGGTGGGGTCCTATGTGGTGGGTTCAAGTTAGTAAGGCCTTTAAGGAACCTTCTCGTAGTTGGATGTGAGAACCCCGACCTACCATCCACGGAGTGACGGAAAGTGCTAACTGCAGCAAGATGAACTTTGAGGGATGGAATGAAAAGACCCCCATGGCTGAGGGATAAGATATAGTCAAGTATGTGCTGGACAGATGCAATCTCCAGGGTGAGTCTATTAGTAGAACACCATGATATGAACCTCCGCCACTTAAACTGGTAGGTCGTATGAATAGCATCTCTCCTCCTGTGCAGGAGGACGTTCTTCACTTGGTCTCAACAAGCCTGTTTGGACGGACTGAACCAGTTACAAGCCAAGCAGTGAAATGCAGGGTGTGTGGCTGCAGGTGGATGAGGCGCCCTTGGTCCTGCATCAATAGGTCTGGCAGATTCCGCAAGGTATATGGGTTCCGGAAAGACATTCTGTGCAGGAACGGGAACCACGGCTGCCTCGCCCAGGCCAGGACTATGAGAATCACTGTGGCTTTGCCAATCCTGATTTTTGTCAACACCCTAAGTATAAAGACGATGGGAGGAAATACATAAAGAAGGGGGCCTCCCCAATGCCAAAAGAAGGCATACCCCAGGGATCTCCAACCTATACCCAGTCTGGAACAAAAGTGGACGCATTACGCATTCTTGCTTGTGGCGAAGAGATCTATGCATGGGAAGCTCCAATGGCGGACTATATGGTGCAGTACATCTGTATGAAACTCCCACTCGTCGTCGGCAGGGCTCGACAAATACACTTGCCCATGGCAAGAACATAAGAACGGCCGTACTGGGTCAGACCAAAGGTCCTTCTAGCCCAGTATCCTGCCTGCCAACAGAGGTCAGCACCAGGTGCCCCAGAGGGGATGGACCAAAGACAACGATCAAGCGATTTGTCTCCTGCCATCCCTCTCCAGCCTCTGACAAACAGAGGCCAAGGACACCATTGTATCCCCTGGCTAATAGCCTTTTATAGACCTAACCTCCATGAAATTATCTAGCTTCTCTTTAAACTCTATTATAGTCCTAGCCTTCACAGTCTCCTCTGGCAAGGAGTTCACAGGTTGCAATATTTACCCGATTTCTACCCATGTGACAGCACTTTCCATGAGCAACAACAGTCCAAGAATTTAACTATTAAAAACCACTTATCAACAGAAGATCATTACACTGACTACTTTTTTGTTTTGGCTCCCACTCGTCGGCCACATGTTGATCCCCACATAAACCCAAACTGCACCGCGAGGCGCAAACAATCTGGCCGTGGGCAGCATGCCAAGTTATTAATAAATATTTTATAAACCTCGACCTTTTCTCTCTGCAACCATGTCTCCACTCCTTGCTCCATCATCTCCTCGGTGCCTGCTGCCCCCAACTCCTTACCCTCCTCTGCTGTCCTGACTCCTGCCCTTCTCACTGCCCTCAGCCCCCCTGCAACCTGCCCGCCTCCACCAGCGGTTCTCTCCCCCCTGTGCCCACTCCTCCAGTAGCCCCACTCTGATCATGTGAGCTACCCCTCTTCTAACACCTCCCTCTACACACC